CCCCAAAACCCCAAAACCCCAAAACCCCTTTCTAATTTCAAACGTTGCGAATATAATTTAAATATTTTAAAATGTCAGACGATGAATTTGAGGGAGAAGGTGTTGAAGGTGAAGAAGATGAAGAAGGTGGTGAATCTGAAAAAGAAGTTGAAGAAGTTAAAGAGCCTCCAAAAATTCCTATTTATGTCCCAAAAATAGACCCATTAACACAAGTCTTAAATATAAATCGAAACTTAGACATGCTAAACTCAGAAGTCAATGTTATTTCATCTGAATTTATGGTAATGACTTCAGCAATGGGAAATAAACCAAAGTTTTACAATGTGAGTCCTACTCGAAATTTTAGTTCTCCTAATTATAACACTGTTGGAGGAGCTTACAGTAGTCCTATTCGACATAATGCTGGCTCTGCTACATATTGGAATAACCCAAATCACATTACTCTATCTCCTCCAAAATATAATCCTCCTGTTTATTCAAACACAATGAGTAGTTATCAAGCTCCTAGCATATATAAACCATCAAATTATGCTTATTCTCCGATAAGAAAGGCTTATAGCCCGTCCAGATATAATGCACCAAACTATTCTGGAGTTCCATGAATTGCTTCAAAAACTCTTCAAAGTAAATCTATATATTAATTTATAGGTCCTCCTAATGATTACAATATGAGGAAGCTATTTAATGACATTGATAATGTGCTAAATAATCAAATTCCATCTGCTCCACCTCCTCCTCCTTTAATAATGAAAGAGGAAGTGTATAACACATTTGATAGAGCTCATCAGCCTGAAATGCTACCTAATCATGAAATAATAACGTATCAAGAGCCTCAAAGGGTAATTGTAGATGAACCCAGACCTCCTTTATACGATAGAAGAGAAATTTACTCAAAATATAATCAAGTTACAAAAGCTGATGATTTGTATAATAGAAAACCTGAGCCTGAAAGGTATAATCTAGTTCAATCTGTTCATTCGAATCCAAGATCTAGAAGTCCTCTTAGAAATGTTCAGAGAACTCAGAGTCCTCATTTCCAAAGGCCAAGGTCAGAAACAAGACGAGTTCCTGCTCCTGCTTCTGATTTTCAAATTCACGATGCTGTGAAGACTCTTTTCAGATAATTTGGCTCAATCTCTGCCTGGGAAAATGGGGTTTTGGGGTTTTGGGGTTTTGGGGTTTTGGGGTTTTGGGG